TTTGGTCATCTTTAATTGGATTAAAAGTTGGTGAATAAAATAGTAGCATAGAAATTTGAGAAACCAACAGCAATATAAAGTTAGGCATTACCATGTGTATTATCAGGAAGGAATGTAATAGGAGTAGCAAAAACAGGATCAGGTAAAACAATTGCTTATGTTTGGCCAATGCTTGTTCATGTAAGTGCATAGAGGGCAGTAGAAAAAAAAGAAGGACCTATTGGATTAATAATGGTACCTACAAGAGAGTTAGGATAACAAGTATTCTTAGAAACTAAGAAATATGCTTAATTATTTAATATAAGTGTTAGTGCATTGTTAGGAGGAGAAAATAAACATCATTAATGGAAAGAATTAAGAGCAGGAGTAGATATTATAGTAGCTACACCAGGAAGGTTGATTGAAATGGTTAAGAAGAAGGCTACAAATATGTAAAGATGTACATATGTTGTATTGGATGAAGCTGATCAAATGTTTAGTCTTGGTTTTGAATATTAGATTAGATCTATTATCAATTAAATAAGACCTGATAAATAAATCTTATTATTCACGGCCACTATGAAAAAGAAGATAAGATAATTATGTGTGGATATGTTAGTTGATCCTATTGTGATTACTATTGGAGAAAATGAAAATCAGGTAAATGAAGATATTAAATAATTACCTATCATTGTTGAAGATGATGAAGCAAAATTGAAATGGTTACTTTTGAATTTAAAAACTTATTTAAATAATGGGAAAGTGTTGATCTTTGCTAATTAAATGGGATAATGTGAAGGATTATTAGCAGAAATTAAATCTAAATTAGGATTGTAAGCATTAACTCTTTATGGTGATAAAATGTAATATGAGAGAACCTTAATTATTAATTAATTTAAATAAAATGTTAATTTATTGATAGCAACAGATATTGCTTCAAGAGGATTAGATATAAAAGAAATAAGAACTGTAATTAATTATTATCCACCTAAAGATGCCGATATTTATATTCATAGAATTGGAAGAACAGGGAGAGCTGGAAATTGTGATGGTGTTGCTTATTCTTTGGTACAAAAGTAAGATTGGAAATTTGCTATTATGTTAATTAGAAGTATTGAATTAGCAGGTTAAATTGTACCTCCAGAATTAGAAGATATAGCTAGTCTTGATGATCATTTTAAAATGGATAGAATGAAAAAGAAGATGGGTTTTGATTATGCCAGAGGTAAAGATGCAAGTAAAATTTTACATCAAGCTCTTAAAAGATAAAGTAATACAAAGGCTGGATTAGGATTTGATGAACTAGAACCTAAAAAATAAAAAAAAATAACCAAATAATTATAAGATAATTCAGAAAATCCAGTTAAAGTACTCCCTGTTGTTACTTTAGCTGAACCTACAAAATCTATTGGATAATTTAAAAATAAATGGTAAGATTTTAATCCATATGAAAACTATGATAATTATGCCGCTACTTTAGCTGTCCCTGGACATATGGAAAGAGATTAAATCATTTAACATTATTAGGAATAAATGAGAGATTAATTTAGAGCTGGATTTAAATCTGGAGGTGTAGCTTAAACAACCAATAAGAAACCTGTTGTTAAATTTATTAATGATAATAATAGTAATTAGAAGAAATCATGATTTTTATATTTTATATGATAATAAAATATTTAGAGGACAATCCATTGTTTTAGGTTATAATGTGAACATTTTGAAATAAATTAAAAAAGATTTTAATTTTTTCTTGAAACAATTATGGTAAAAAGTGTATCGATGTCAATTTTAGGCAAGAGGACCAAAGAAACACATGAAAAGAATCACAGCACCAAAAAGTTGGATGCTTTCAAAATTAGGAGGAAATTGGACTATCAGACCATCATAAGGACCTCATAAATTAAGAGAATCAATTCCACTCTCTGTCATATTGCAATATAAATTGAAATATGCTTTATATGCTAGAGATGCTACCATGATTCTTGCTGATAAGGATGGTAATGTTAAAGTTGATGGAAAAGTCAGAACTGATAGTGGATATCCAGTTGGATTATAGGGTATCTACTTTTTATATCATCCATCTAGATGTTATCACTATTGATAAAACAAGAGAAAATTATAGAGTTTTATATGATGTTTAAGGCAAATTCATCTTAAAATCCATCAAACCAGAAGAAGCTAAATTCAAACTTGTTAAAGTCACCTAAAAAAAAGTTGGCCCAAATAATGTTCCATACATTGTCACCAGTGATGCCAGAACCATCAGATATCCTAATCCAGAAATACATGTTAATGACACTCTTAAAATCGATTTAGAATCAGGAAAAGTCCTTGAATTCCTTAAAGAAGAACCAGGTATTATATATTCATTATCTCTTAGGAAATTTATGTTATATTATTGGAGGTAACAATATTGGAAGAGTTGGACTCATTTAACATAGAGAAAGACATCTTGGATCATTTGATATTGTCCATGTCAAAGTAATCATTATTATCCTAATATTCTTAGGATTCTAACGGAAAACATTTCTCCACCAGAATCAATAACATCTTCACTATTGGAAAAGGCAAAAAGTCATTGATCTCACTCCCAGATGATAATGGTTTGTATTTGACTGCACTTGAAAAAAAATAAGTCAAAGATCACTAGGAAGTTGAAAAATAATGATGATTCATTAAGACATATCAGTATAGTACAAAATTATATATCCAATCATTTATTCTTATTTTTATCATCATCCTATTAAAATCTATTCATGGACTCAAACTTATTAAATTTATACTTAATATTGTACATTAGTAAAGAAATCAAAATCCTTTTTTTAAGCTTTTAAAAAGTTTCGTTTATTCTTTTACTTCATTCTATCTATTTAATTTTACTAATTTTCTCCAACTAGCTTTTATTAGCCAATTTTTTTAGAATACAATCTCTTCACAAAGACATTTAAGATTTTGCAATTAATAATACTCTAGAATCTGTATGAATAACATGCTTAATATTTAATGTAAATGAATATACATAATTAACATTTCTTGTTTTTCAATATATCTTAACAAAAAAAGTGAAATTGTTTATTTTATTTACTTTCCCTGATGCTTTGAACAACTTGTATTGCTTAGTCATTAATATAACTTATATTTATAATTAATAAGCTGTATTACAAAAGGTTCATATTCCGATATTATTAAAGGAATCTGTTGAAAGAGGTAAACTATTTCACATTACTAATAATGCATTATTTTTTTGTTTTGATCACTTACCATAACAGTCGTAACGTCATTAGATATTATTTTAATTCGTTATAATTGCCATTCAATAAATTCATATTGATTTACAAGAAGTTTTAAACTTTTGGACATCTAAGAAAAAAATATTTTCAAGGATCTTCTTACAATATAATAAATATATATTAAATCATTTCTTAGATCTTATCCAAAGAGTTATTCCTAACACAAAAAATATTGAAAGTTCAGAAAATAAGAAATGACAGTAAGTTTCGATGAATCTAAATGTTTATATAAAATATTACTGTTCTTGATAACACAAATAAAAAAAGAAACATAGTAGACAAAATTGACCCATAAGTACTAAAAACATGATCCACTTTTAATTAATAACTCTTTTAAAAGTCTCATTACCATTACTATAATATTTTGAACATTCCAAATTCAATTTTGATATTTAGTATAGTTCATTCATACTCAAATACAAGAATATTAGGCTACCATTAAATAAAATCAACCTAAATTATTTTTCAATATGATTACTTCATAAATATTAAGACTACAGTCATAAAACTTTCAAGTAATCTTAATGAGTAAATAATATTTAATAACATCAACATCAATAAAGAAAATTTCATTATAATGTTAACAACACAAGTTAATTTGTTGTGTTCTTTAAAATTCTATGTACAAATCCAACAAAACTCATATTAACATTTACAGGTCATATGATTACATCCCCCATTTTTAAAAATTCTTCTTTAACATTTAGGACAATCCTTTATAGTAATAAAGTTGAGAAATATGCTTCTTAAATTCCACTTTTCATCTTTTATTTTGAATTGGTATCCGCATTCACATTCAAATTGTTAGCAATTATTTTTTATTATTCCACCATATTAGCAATCATTTTTAGGACATATTCTTATATCTTAGGTTGTTTTTATATATTTTTCTAGCAGCAAATCATTTAATCCTCCCAGATTTTATAACAATCCTTGAACTGTGTGTTTGTTTTAGCAAGAACCCGGACAATTAATTTCTTCAATTACTTCATAATATTTTGCATCAATTGATTTTATCATACAGCATGGGCATATTTGACAATTACATTGCAATTGTAAAAGATCTGTTGTATCACAACAAATAGAGCATTCCATTTACTCAGAATAAAACAGAATATATAAAATATAAATTTTTAGAAGTATTATTTCACATTTTCTTAACTAAATCATTTGTTTATTTAAAACCGCTTGAACATGATTAAATAGATGAAGTATTAAATTAAATAATAGTGAAATCATAAAATTTAATGCATAAAATAGGTATGTATTTTATGTTCTGAATCTACTATATATGATATATATATAATTCTTAGTCAAAATTTTCAATAGTAATAAGCATAAATTAAACAATTGAATAATGAGAATATTTTTGAAGAGTAAAGGGAAAAAAAATCTATTTCCATATAGTTCTTTGTTTAATATACATTCAACTAGATGAATAATTTTATTTAAGACAAATTTCTTCAAAAAAAATCATAACAATATTACCAGCATAAGTAGGAAAGCAAATGCAATAATTTATGATAAACATAGTGGACAACTAATTCTAGCAAAACCTTAAACTTGACATTCTTTTTCACATATAGGACATTCATTTATTCTTTAAGAGTTGATAAATTTAATTTATTCAGTTTAACCACTTAATTTGTCATAAGTGGTATAAAATAGATTTCCATTTGTTAATAAAATAGATGCAACTCATTTAGAGAGATCTGGTATTGCAATTCCAAATAACATGTTAAATCAGTACACAATTTTAGAACTGTTTCTGAGCAAAAATCAAGAGTACAACCAATTATTGATTAAAAGTTTAAGGGTTGGAATGATTTGTTGACTGGAGGATCACTTTTTCGGTCAAAAATCATAAAGAATTGAAAATAGAAAATGTGATAGATTTAATCTGTAACTGAAGCATTATCTAATATCATAAAAGCCTTTGAATATAAATTATAAATTGTTACAGGTCTAAACTAATCTTGTTCCTAATTCTGCATTTGGAATCTTAAATAAATGGTATCTCCATTTTTTATAGTAATTATTTTATGGTGTTATCCGTAAGTCAGTAACTTAAACTTGATCAGAATAGATATTTGAAGTCAATTTCCATAGTTTAAGATCAGAATACCAAGTTGCTTTTAAATTTCCATCCTCTTTAACTAGACCAAAAAAATTGGATCATTAAAATACTCATCGAAAGATCTAAAGTATATTTAACATTAGTGGTATTAGAAACAAAAGGACATTTCTTATAAAAGCAAACTTTATTGCTCTAGTTTCATCAAGATTATCTACTGCTTCAAATTTGTATAAAATCTTTTGCGATTATTAGAAATATCATTAATTCTATAGGATTGCCAGAAGGATTTAAAGAAAAATTCAATGAGGATGATTTTCCTTAATATATATTTCTGTTTTTGATTTTATTGGATGATATTTAAAATTTAAATAAAATATAACTCTATTATAATTGAATTAAAATTTCTTAGATTTATATATTTATTTAATCAAAACCTAAATTATTAATAAATATCTTTAATAAAAGATCATCATAATACTTTTTCACTTAAATATCATTGGATTACTCATACTAAATAATCAGTATAATCCATATTCGCATAAGGTTTCAACCAAAAATTCAAAAAACAACAATCAATCGGCCATTCTAATTAAAATAGAAGAATTTCACAATAAAACTTTTCTTACTTCATTAATTTATTCCCATTATGTATATAAATATTTTTTTTTAGTTATAATTGTTCAGAAATAATTATTATTACCAAGCAATAAAATTTTGGTTTAAGTAGATCATTCATTCTTATCATTTCTATTCTAGTAGTTTGATGATTTTTGTGAACTAAAGGTTAATTTTATTGTTTTTATAAAGATTATTTGATGGCTAAAACATGATTTTCGATCTTTTAAATTACCAATTAGATTTTGGATTTTATGCTTGATAATTAAATACACAATTAAATCTAATCTATTGGTACTTTTTAAAGTTTTGATAATTTTTGAATATATTTTTGATTAGCCCATATATTATAAGAATTACTTTTGATTCTCTAGATAAAATAATAATAGAGAATATGCCTACAAACTTAAAGACAATGACACTTTCATCTAAATTTAATCATTTATTATTGATTAATTAATAGCATAGAGTTTTCCTTATTTATTAAAATAGCGAAACTGTATGATTTATGATCAGGTCGATTTAAATTTTAAAATTGAAATTCTTAGTGGATTCAGTACTTATTATGTTTATTATTAAATCTAATTTTAATAATTTGTTTGAAAAGAGTCCTTATATTAATTTATCATTCTTTTTTTTTTTAAATATAAAATAATTTCCTAATAGAAATAAATACAAAATTTGATTATTGTTTTTAATATTGATTAAAACTCTTTAAAAAGAAACTTGCTCATTATTGATAATCATATAATGAATTGAAATCACAAAACTTCAAATTTATTTCATTTATCCTTAAATTATAGAGATTTTCATTAAACAACTCATTTAATTAATATATGGATAACTCTTAAACTGTGACAAATATTAAACAATAATAAAACTGTTCCTTAAAAAATTAAATTTCTTTATAATAAAAAACAAGATATTTATTCAATGTATAAACCTAATTTTTTCAATATTTAAATAATCAAATGAATCCCCTCACTAAGATTAGTGAATTGGTTTTTTTTTCTTATTGTGGAATGTCTAATTGTTAATATTATTCTATTTCACTTGCTGATTCATACGTAAAATTTAAAGAAGAATAATTTGATACTTTTTGGACTAATAGAAAATCCACACTTAGAGGAGGAGGTTGTGTAAATTTTAATAAAAAGAAAAAGTAAAATGGAGATGGAAAAAAGTAGATTGTTTAATAAAATATGAATGTTGAAGAAATTAAATTGGTACTAGGGTAGTATGTTAATAAACATGGCCTGGGTACATTATTTTTGGAACTCTAAAATTGTGATAATGATTGTGTAGTCTACTCATTCTAAATTATTACAATATGTCTTGACCTCTTACAATAATTTGATAGGAAATTAATAGATCTAGAAAATATGTACCATTTAATAATTAATGTCAAAGAGAATATCGATCATAATTTAAGGAAAGAAAAAGATTACAAATGGGTTAATGAATTCTAATTTTATTTTCATTTACTGGAATAATCTATAGAGGAATTAAGAAAGTTAAATGAAAGATAAAATTAATCAAATTTATTACTTTTTATAAATTTTCAATAAAGGGACTTAAATCAAAATTAGTAAGAATCTTTTTGGTCTGATTTAATGAATTTAAATTAAGAAGGAGATTTGAATAAATATGAAACTTATTATTTTTATTAAATGTTCTAGAGAAAACTTATATAAAGTATTTATTTGGAAAACGAAAATAATTTTAATAGATAGATTAAATTGCTTTAAGATTTTTATGATAAATTTGTAAATCCAGAAGATTAACTATATAATTAAGATAAACAAATGATATGGATTTTAACCTAACTCAATCTGATTATTAGAGAATGTTCAGATAAATAATAAGGGATTAATAACAAATTGAAAGATTTTTAGTAAAAATTAAATCTCAAATTACCGGAGGATCAAAGATTTTTTTATTCGTTTAGGAAATATAAAGATGAAAAAAAATTTGAAAAAATAAAAAAATGGATAGTGTTTCATTTAATAATTCTATCAAAAATATATGAAAATGAATAACATATAATGGAGATTTTAGATAAATCAGCCAAAGAATTTTAATGCAAAGAATAAAATTAAAATGTAAATGATTTATGGGCTCAGAAGAAGAAAAGATTTTTTCCCAATAATGAATCAACCACACCTCCAATAGAAAAGCCATCTTATAAAAATTAACTAAATCACATTTGCTAGAAAAAATTAAATAAATATAAGGAATCACGAAAATAAGAAAATTAAGATTTTATAAAATTAAAAGTTAGTATCAAATAACCTACATAAGAAATGTATTATGATAGTTCATAATGTCAGGAATTTCTATAGAATTAGGAAAAAGATATATTGTGGATTTTTGGGAAGGCAAAATGTGGTAAAACAACTTTAATTAAATAAATGATTCATGATTTATGGTAAAATTATTAAGATTAGATATCAAATTGGATACCAATATATATATTATTACCATCAATAGAATAAATAGTAAATATAAATGAAGTGCTAAAAAAATGCTTAGATTAGAAACCATTTGGATTTACGGATATTTAGATTTAGGATTTTATAAATGCTGTTGATAATGATTAAGAATATTTATTATTTGTCTTAGATGGTTATGAACAAATGAGTTATGGTTTTTAGGAGAATAATTCAATTAGAATGCTGGGATTTGATAGATAAAAGAAGAATATAAAAATAATTATCTCAACAAGGAATTCGTTTTTTTATAAATTTTAAGAAAGAGAGAGATAGAATTTAGAATTAAGAATGATTTAAATGGAAATAAAGGAATTTGATGAAGAGTAAAAAAAATAACATATAACAAATTGTCTTAACTAAGAAATTTTCAAAAAGTTTTAAAATTCTAAAATTAAAATTGAATTGAAACAATTGAATATTGAAATTGATTTTCATGACGGGAAAATTGAATTGTAGTAATCAACTATTAAAAATTTAGTAAATTTGTAATAAAGTAATTAGACTGAATAAACTAATATCAAATTGAAAGAAATTATAAAAGAAACATTATTTGAGACAGAGTAATTGAATTGTCTTTAGAAAAAATATTTCATAAATTGTTTTTCATTTAATTATCAATTCAATATCTTGATGAATTTGATCTAAAAAATAAAAACCTAAAGGCCTCTTAGTTATAAATCTAGTTCTTCAAAATACTTTAAATCTATGAAGTAAATATAAAAGATGGAAGAGAGTAGAGAAAAATATTTAAATGACAAAATGAGTGAAAGTAGCTCTACCTTTTAAGAAAACCTATAAAATCCATTTGAATATCAATTTGATCCACGTGAAATCAATAAAATGTTTACTTCCATATTTGAAGATTAAAAAATTAATCTATATAAATGTTTACGCAATACATTAAATGAAAATAAAGTACAATATGCACATGTTTTAATCTAATCTATTTCAAATCCATATTTTACCATATATTAATACATAAATTATCTTTTCAGATAATATTCCTAAGATGCTAATAATAAAAAATATCTTTATTAATTGTCTAAGGAATAAAAAGAAGTTAAAAAAGCAATATTAGCTATTTCCATTAAAAAAGCAATTGAAATGAGCAATGATTAAAACAGAGATCAATAAAAGCAAAATGATTAAGAAAAACTTACTGAAATGAGATACTGCTTATTAGAAATTTAAAATTCAAATTATCGATTTATGGACTAAATATTTTAAGATTTTTTTGTGGCAAAATATATAATTAAATTGATAAAAGGATTTCGACCAAATCAAATTCTCTCAGATTCTTTTTTTAATAATCAAATTTTTAATTTAAAAAATACAAATTATGAAGGTGTTGTAGCTTTACTTAAAGATTAATTATTAAGAATAGATTAAATATATCAAAAACTTATTGAATTAATTAATTTGTCTAAAAATGAACAATTTAAAAGAGCTTCATCAAATAGTTTATATCTATTATCAATTCTTAATCTCAATTTAGAAAAAGTAAATTTAGATGAAATACATATTGCTGATATAAGTATAGAAGGATTAAGTTTTTATAAAGCAAGCATACGTTATTCACATTGGGAAAATATAAAGATCAATTAATGCAATTTTAATTAAGCAGATTTAAGTGGAGCACAATTTAAGAATGTAGATATAAGAGAAAATCCTAAAATTCATGTAAGAGATGGAGTTTAATAGTTGCAATTTTCAAGTGATAATAAATATATTGGAATTTTATATTACAATACTATAATTATTCAGAAATTGGAAGATAATTCTTAAATATAATTGAGATTAGAGGGATTTGGATCATTTAATTATTTTAGTTTTTAAAGAGACTCCTCAAGACTTGCAATTTCAACTGTCTTTAATTAAGAGAATGTTGAAAAATATCCTGCTGTTGAAATTATAGATTTTCAAGAATTTTTTAATTCATCAAATCAATACTAATCTAAAGATTAACTAATTAAAAACTTAAAAAATTAAAAATTATATTACGATTTTTGTTGTAATGCGTTTTCGTTTTTAAATGAAAAAAAATTGTGCTGTGGATTTAAAAATAACTAATTAATATTATGGAATTTTACAAAGGGATAGAACAATTATGATGTAATCAATACGTTTCAATAGTAAATTTTAAAAATTGCCTTGGATTATAAAAAATCCAGTTTGGACTATAAAGGAAACAGTTAGGATTATAAAAATCAAACTATGGCTATCCAATTTGTTGATAAAACAGTTAAGATTTTCAATATAACTAGGGCAAATGATGGTAGTAAGTATAAAAGTTAACCTAAAAAGGGATGGGAAAATAAAAATTTAATTTTATCTTCTTGCCAAAACTTTTTAGCTATATAAAATAATGATGATTTAGTTATCTATAATTGGTAATTGGATGAAAAGAAAAAATACAAAATATCATCTTAAGTTTATAAAATAAATTAATTCCATATAAGTTAAAATTTGAATAAGCTACTAATAGTAAAATCTAAAGAAATAGAATGGTTAGATTAAGATCGTTTTATTCTTTAAAGATTATAGGATAATTCTTAATCCTCTATTTCTCCAGATGGAACTTAATTAGCCATCTGTTAAGATAATAAAATCTCTATCATTTGGCAAGATAAAAATAAATTAAATTTATCTAATCGAATTGTTTATTAAGAAATTTAAAAGGCATAATATTCTCCAGATGGACAATATATTGTAATAGAATTTTAAGATAAGACTATATTTTATGATTTTGATGATTTTGAAATTTCACTCTAATTAGAAAAGGTAAACTTTTTGGTTTTCTCAAAAGATTTCTTCGCTTTAAGCTCTGATTAAGGTGTTAAAATATTTGGTTTTTAGGATCGTGAGCTCCTTGAATGGTTACCATTCCAAACTAAAAAAATACTATTTTGTTTTGCATCATAACGTTTAGCAATTTTAGACAACTAAATCTGTATTTATGATGTTGTTGAATCATAAAAAAATTAGAAAAAACTTTTAGAAAAAATAAATATAGTAATTGATTATCATCCTAAGATTATTATTGCTATTTCATAAAATAATGATTATCTCTCGATAGCATAAGGTGGACAATTTTTCTTATTTAAAAATTCCATACTTTAAGAATAATAAAAAAATCAAGGAAACTAAAATGAAATAATTTTATCTATGTGTTTTACTTTTTATAATGAACAGAATCTGCTTGCAACTAGAAGTAGGAAGGGATCTTCACATATATTTAGAATTATAAACGTCTCTGGCATTAAAATCGTTTCAGAATGGGAAGTAAAGGATTAAATTAATGATAATGATAACTATTAAAATAGATGTTAATTTTTAATTATTCAGGATAAATTATACATTATATCGAATCAAAAAAATCTAATAATCCTTTCATAAATAATTATGTTCTTGGAAAATTAAAAAATAGAAGAGCCATAACATATTAAATTATAACAATAAATGTTGGGTGATTCAAACACTGTAGCAGATTACTTATGCTTTAGCTTCTCAATAACTCAAAATCTAAATTTTATAGCATCATGTTATTCTAATAATAATCAACTTAAAGACGGAATAACTACTATAATTTTTTGGTAATAAGATGATAAATAAATCTATAAATAGATTTTTACAATTACAAAAACAGGAGGTTCAAATTTATTTATTTTATAAAAAGAAGAAAAATAATGTATATGGTTACTCAGTTATATTAATGATTTAGATTCCTCAAAAATTCAAATACAATAAATAACAACTGATGGCGTCATAAATATATCAAAAGAAATAAATTCTTAAAAGCCTATCTCATCAATTACATTTTCATCAGTTTTTTAACATTTATTAATAAATCATTTGCCTAATGGTTTTTCTCTTTATGAAATAAAAGAATTAGATTAGTCATAACTTTTATGTTATTGTGAATAAACTTAAATGCCTGTATATTTTACTTAAAATGATTATGCAATTTACTTTTTTCAATAAAGTATTGTTATTAGAAGGGTAGACTAATTTATAAAATACTTAAAGTATTATTCAAAAGGAATCATAATAGATTAAAATGTAGGTTTGTGTTTTAATAATAATCTCTTTTATTTTAATAATGAATAAAAAATCATTTATGAATATAGTGATATAGGAGTTTAGGAAATTATTTATGAAAATGTTGAATAATAAATTATTACATGCTCTTAATTTTCTCCAAATGGGAATATTGTTGTATTTACATATGTTAAAAATAGTAAATAATTTTCAAGAATTTTATAAAAAAAAATGGATAAGTATGAATAACTATAGGAAATTTAATTTGATTCTAATATTTATGGGATTAAAATTTTAACAAATAACTCATTCATAGTTCTTACTAATAAAATTTTGATATATAAAAAAAATATGGTTGGTGAAGCTACTTCCTTTTAAATTTAAAGTTTACACTCACCAGATATTTTTTTAAATCCAGAATAAAGTATAAAATAAATTAGTGTTCATCCGAATGGAAATGATTTTCTTGTAATAACAAAAGGCGGTTAGATTTAAGTTTATTTATAAGATGAAGAATAATACTGTTTAAAAAAAACAATTTCTGATCAAATTTAATTTGAAGCCAAAGATTGTAAAATTAAAAATATTAGGGTTGATAATCCAAAAATAAAAGTGCTATTTTAACAAAAAGGGGCAATCGATGAAAGCATGTAAGAATATAAGAAATTATGAGGTTTATGAATCTTTATTTATTTATATTTATTCAAGTTTATACTTTATTTATTATATAATATTAAAATTAAAATATTTCCATCAAATTTAAAAAGTATTTTTTTTATTTGTTGTTATTATTTTATTTTTAATCTTCTAAATGATTAATATACTAATATTTCTTAATTTAAGATATTAAAAACTTTTAAATTTTTACCTCTACAAAGAATAATTAAAAATTTCATTTATTTTTATATAATTTAAACTGAGACTTAAATTATTTTAAAAAACACAATCTAATTTAATCTGATTATGATATTATTATTTTTCTATGATATGTAGGCACAGATTTTTATCAACTTGAAAATGCGAAAGTAAACTCATTTTCTAACCTAGTTGAATTAATTTTACGAATTAATATAAATTAATATAAAATGAGAGTTTGAAAAATTAATTTGAGCGAATCCACTCTTAACAAGTAGTTTTTATTCTAATTTTGATGGAATAATTTAAAAAAGATTAGCTTATAGCCTACGTTTTAATTTTTCAATTCCTATAAAAAGAATATTCAATAAATAACATTATCGATTAATTATAGATTTAGCAGTAATGTCTTGTTTTCTAGACATAATTTTGAAATTCTTTGAGTCAAAAAATGTTCAAATTTTTAACAATCAAATAAGATGTTGAATAGAAAAAAGATATCTACCCAAATAATTTAGATACTTCTAAATCCATGAGTCATTTAAGCTAAATTTTCAGGATAAATCAAAGAATTAAATTATAGATTGGCTATTTTAATTGCTGATGATTGAGCTAGACTACTTTAGATTAAGAAATTTATTTCCTTAAATTAGTTTTTAAAAATATTAATGAAAGTACTAGGGCAAAATGAAATCAATAATTATTACCTAGTGGTGTTTTGAGTAATAATAATTGTGCTATCTTAATTAATTCTAAAAGAACCAAATATATCATAAATCCTTAAATATAATGTAATCATTTAATTCTCTCATCCAATAAATTTAAAAAATGTAAAAAATCTTCTAATTTAAACCACTTCTTCATTGTTTATAAAAGCTCTTCTTCATTTAAATCATGTATTGTTGAGCAACTACTTTTTTTGAAATTTCATATAATTAATTTATTATTTGATACTATTTAGTCTTTAACTAATTTATCGTCCAGTTCATTAAGCTATGAATTATTATTTTTTTATTTTTGTAAGTTAAGTTAATACCTTTTATGATTAATCTATCTTCTTTTTTTCAATTTCTATAAAATTTTACATTATTCTTAATTCAAAATTGTCCATTAATGATTTAAGTTTTAGATTTTTTTTTGGTTATCTTTAATCCAATTCACAATCATAAATCCTTTTCCTAAATCTTTATTTGATTATTTATGATAATTTCTTTGTCATGTATCTTAGTAAACAAAAATAAATAAATTTAATAGACAAATTTTACCATCTTTTGAGTAGGACAAGCATAAAAAAATAATAATATCATTAGTATTTTATGCTTATTTAATTAAAAATGGCTTATATCCTTTTTTAAATAACTTGATATTTTCTATTATGAAAAAAATTTTATTTTATTCAATACTTTAAATGGAAATTTATAATTATTTGAAAATAAGCTAGGAGAAATAATAGAAGGAAAAACAAATTTGAAACAGCATTAGATTTTTTTTATATTAATTTTCAAATATAATTTCATGCAAAATGAAATTAATATAAGAGTTTAGGAATTAATAATTAAATGATATATATTTTATTTACCTCAATAACAATCAAATCCTAATTTTCATAATGTTTATTATACTGATCTTAGCTTTAATACATAAGATATTTTTTTATTTATAACATATTATACTTAATATAAAAGTAATAGAAATTCAATATTACTATTTAAAATAAAAAGCAAATGAAATAGGCAGAAGCTCTGTATCAAGTTTTCACTAAATTAAATGATTTTGATGAATAAATATGTAGTACGACAATTGAAATGTTAAAAAAAGAAAATATATCAGACTGTTTAAAATATTTTTCAGATAATGAAAATCTTTTATCATATGAACTCTACATTTCATAAGTGAGGATTTTATCACTTATAAATTAATAAAAAACGCAAAAAATTGTTAAAAATAATACGAAAATAATGATAAATATTTTAAAATATGTTAAAGATCATGACTTTAATAAAAAAAATTACTCTACAGATATATACAAAGAATCAAGGAAACATCTAATTTAAAAAATATCAAAAGATGAAAAGATCGTCTAATTCTTAAAATTTTTAGTTCACCTTACAGCCATAGATAAATAATTCATTTAAAGTGGTTCAAATTCACTAAACATACTAGTTTACATGAAGGTAGATTTGACGAATCAATCTTTCGAAAAAATCA